TTTCTGGATACCACTATAAACTCCCCTTTTGAACATTAAATAAAAGATGACAATGATATCTATAACTATTTATGGGATATTTACTATATGCTTTATATACACTATTGCTAATTGCAGCACCTCTCCGAGGTACATTTTATTCTCTCCACTTTGCAGTTAGGAAACCGAGGCTCAGAGCGGTTAGTTAACTTGCCTAAACATGTCCCTCCTGCAAATGGCAGAACCAAGATTTGAATCTAGATCCTGTTCAACTCCAGGACCCACATTTCCTCGATTGTCCACTTGCTGTGTCATCTGGGGCAAGTTACTTAACCTTTCAATGCCTTAATTTCTCCATCTGTGCAAAGAAGGAAACAAAAGAACCTCACTCATAGGATTGTCATTTAGATTAAATGAAATAATTCATGTCAATTAGCACAGTAATATTAAATATTATATTAGTTGTTTTTTATACCTGGGCTGTCCAAATATGTCTTGGAAAATACTTGAGCCCTCTAAATAAAAAGGTTGCAAATTATTTCAGCATGTGTGCAAATTGCGACTTACTCTCAGTGACTCTCAATGCTTATTAGCATATTAAAGACCCAGAGAAATTCCACAGTGAAGAATCCAGTTTGCCCCAAGCTGGAAGATATAATTTTTTAAACAAATCTCTTAATTTTCACTTAACATTTTGGTCCTACCCAAGAAGGAAAGGGGGCTTTTACGCCCGATTTGGAATGGAATTACTTTGATAATCTCACCCTTCGCTCGTGCTTGGAAAAGGCCCTACTAGAAGAACATACCATTAAGTACTTGCTTTGATACTGACTGTTAATCCCATGGCCCAGCTTGACATTGTCTCTTAGCAACGTCCTGTCCTTTTCCCCTTTTCATTCTTGTGCCTCTAACAACACTTCCTCTCCTCTGATTTCTCTTCGGCCTCCGGCTTTCAAGGCCCCTTAAGCCTCCTGTACACAGAGAGAAGCAAGAGCTGAAGTCCCCGTGCACATATTTATGTTAATAGCGCTGAGGGGAGGAACAGGCTGTTCTGGGGACTGCTTTCCAACTGTCACATAAATCAGTCAGAAAAAAAAGGTTACTACTTTCACAAAGACACTGCCAGCGTGGAGCAGCAGGTCTTGGCAATGCACTGCTCCCTGATTCCCCGCCCCCTAAGCTGAGCTTCCGTCACGTCTCCCTCATTCTCGATTCTCCAGGCAGGAGGGGTGAAGGATTTTGTAGACGCAGAGGATTTCCAAGTCAGAGGGGACCTCTGAGATCATTTAGTGCTAAATCAAATGGAAACTTCTAGTAAATACCTCTGCCTGGGTCCTTTCCCCAGAGATTCTGGAGCAGTTGTTTGGAAGTAGGGCACAGGAATTTTTTTTTTTTTTTTAAGCTTTCCAGTTGATTCTAATGTATAGTCAGGACTGGGAAGTACTGAATGGACTCATATTCTCGTGGAGAGACTGAGGACCAGAGAATGTGAAACTTCCTTTAGATCACACAGACCATTAGTGATAGGGTGGAGCCTTCATTGCCAGTGATGTTTTCTTGCAAAACGTTATGCTGTCAGTAAGTCCTGGGGTAGAGAGGCAGAAAGACCTAGACAGTAGTGTTATTAGAGTTTTGCATCCCAATCACTTGGGAAGCTCTTTTAAATCTGCCTTCACTTTCCTTGTTTCCCTGGACCTACTGAGTCAGAATCTCTCTCTTTTTAAAGAGAGACAAGATCTCACTGTGTTGCCCAGGCTGGAGTGCAGTGGCATGCACATAGTTCACTGCAGCCTCCAACTCCTGAGCTCAAGTAAACTTCCTGTCCCCACTTCCTGAGTAGCTGGGATTACAGGTGTATGCCACCATGCCCTGCTATTAAAAAAAAAATTTTTTTAGAGATAGGGTCTTGCTATGTTGCCCAGGCTGATCTCAAACTCCTAGCCTCAAGTGATCCTCCCACTTCAGTCTCTCAAAGTACTGGGATTATAGGCAAGAGCCATTACCCTCAACCTGAATCAGAATCTCTTGAAGGAACCCTAGCAAGCAGATTTTGCAGAAGTCCTTCGTGTTAATTTTGACATATACTTCAGTCTAAGAACACTAGCCTGATAGAAAGAACCACAGATTTGAGTTAGAAAAACCAGGCTCCAAATTTGAAATCCATCAAATGCTAACTGTGGTTTTTTGAACAAGTAATATAACTTCTCTAACCTTCAGTTTCTTCATCTGCAAAATGAGACTACACAGCTAACCCTCTTCATCCTTCAGTTTTATAATTAAAATGTCATTTTTCCTAAAAAGGTTTGACTGAGCTTTCAGACCAGTCCAGCCACCCATCCTCCCAGGACACATTTTCAGAGAACACTTCATACACTCCTGCTTTGTGACAATGATCACAATTCATTGATCAAGTAGTTTGAGGCTTAATACACGTTCTTTAATGAATAAATATCTAATTACGATTAAAGAGTTGTGCAATGGATTACTTGCTTTCTGTCTCCACTACCAAAGCTCAATAAGATAGGAAGTTGGGCTGTCCTGTTCACTGCAGTATCCACAGCACCTGGTGTGAAGCTGGCACTCCATAAACATTGGTTAAACAAATGGCTGAACAAATGACCCATATATGTAAAGCATCTGGCATACAGTAAGTATGTAACACATGTTGCCTGTTATAATTATTTTCAGGCCAGGTGCTGTGACTGATGCCTGTAATCCTAGCCACTCTGGAGGCTAAGGTGGGAGGATCACTTAAGGCCAGAAGTTCAATACCAGCCTTGCCAACAGAGTAAGGCTCCATCTCTAGAAAATAAAAAATAATAAAAATAAAATTAGCCAGGCTTTGGTGGTCCATGCCTGTAGCCCCAACTACTCGAGAGGCTGAGGTGAGAGGATTGCTTAAGCCCAGGAGTTTGAGGATGCAGTGAACTATGATCATGTCAGTGCACTCTAGCCTGGGTAACAGAGTGAGACCCTGTCTCTAATTTATTAATTCATCTTCAGAGAGGCCAGGTGTTTTAACCAAAGACGCACAACAGAGCTGAGATTTGAACTTAGTCTACGGGACTTGTTTGTAATTCATTGTATTTTTCTGCCTTAAAGTTTTCATATTAGGGGGACAGGATCTAGGAAGAAATGGCAGGCTGTCTCTGTCAGCTAGAATGAGCTGGAGACCTGTCTGTCTCTTATACGCCCTCAGTCTCCACGGATGTAATCCACGCACACGCACGCACACACACACACACATTTGCAGACTAAGATGGCTCTGTTGGCCTTTTTCTACTCTTGAGAAAATTTTGGTTAATAAACTCCTTGAAAGCAGTCACCATGGTTTTGCATGATCTATCCTCTGCAAGACAGATCCACGGGAGTCCTGTGATTTACTGATGATAAACTTGTGAGCAGTAACACGGTCTGGATCCCAGCACTAGTCAAACATTATGGGGCCAAATAACTGTGATAATCTCTGGATTTCCTCATTGGCCATCATGCTGTCTGTGATTCTCAGGAAATGGGTGACTGGAGGGGCACAGAGGGAGGTGGAATTCACATTATTGGTTGCTTAACACACATTGGGGAAAGGAGTTCAGAATAAGACTACGGGTGAATGTTTTTGGGAATGACTGGATGAGTGCTTGTGTGTCTACACTAGCATGAAAATCAAGAAATATGAAAGTTTTCATTTTAATAGCTTTCATTTAGTTAGCGGTTATTAGGCCCCAGATGCTGTTTCTAGTACTTTACAGACATTATCTCATTTAGTTCTTTGGACTCCAAGGGATTGGAATCATCATCATCAGTATCATCAGGGGAGAAAAGTGAAGCTAAGAGTAATATGCCAAATGTTACAAACATCTGTATGAGGCAAGACCAGCATTGGAACCAGGTTTAATCAATGATTTCAGAGCCTTCCTTAGCACAGTCAACCAATATTTAATGGGCACCTTGTATGTACCATGTTTTGTTTTGTTTTGTTCTTATTGCAAGGACTGTATTACAGACAAAGACACATGTTCTTGTGGGACTTAGATTCTCTCAGGAGGAGACAGGCCAAATCTAAGTTCTGTGATCTGTTAGAAAGTGATAGTGCTAGGCCAGGTATGGTAGCTCATGCCTGTAATCCCAGCACTTTGGGAGGCCAAGCCGGGCGGATCACCTGAGGTCGGGAGTTCGAGACCAGCCTGACCAACATGGAGAAACCCCGTCTCTACTAAAAATACAAAATTAGCTGGGCGTGGTGGCGCATGCTTGTAATCCCAGCTACTTGGGAGGCTGAGGCAGGGGAATCACTTGACCCCAAGAGGTGGAGGTTGCAGTGAGCCGAGATGGCACCATCGCACTCCAGCCTGGGCAACAGGAGCAAAACTTGGTCTCAAAAAAAAAAAAAAAAAAAAAAGATAGTGCTATGGGGAAAAAAATGGGCAGTGCAAAAAGGATGGGGAGTGGGTGGGAGGCTGTGCACATGGCATCTGTGATGCAAGTTTCCAATTTAAACAAAGTGGTCTGAACAGGCCTTGATGATCAAGTCACATTTGCAGAAAGAAGGGAAGACTTATAAGAGGTCTTTATGCTATGTTATGCCACGTTTGGGCTGCCTCCTTAAAATGATTGGATGGATGAGTGAGTAAATAAAACTACTATTGATTAAGCATCTACTATGTCTCGGGCTGTGCTAAACACTTTATCCATAATTTCTAATTGAACCCTATAAGAATAATGTAATCTTCATTTTTTCAGATAAGGAAATCGAGACTCAGCAAGAATAAGAAAGATTATCCAAGTTGGGCACAGTGGCTCATGCCTGTAATCCAGGCACTTTGGAAGGTTAAGGCAGGGGTATAATTTGAAGCCAGGAGTTTGAGACAAGCCTGGGTAACACAGCAAGACCCCCATCTCTACAAAAAATTAAAATATTAGCCAAGCATGATGGCACGCACCTATAGTCCCAGCTACCCTGGAGGCCGAGGCAGGGCAATTGCTTGAGCCCAGCAGTTTGAGGTTATGGTGGGCTATGACTCTGCCACTGCACCCAAGCCTGGGTGACAGAGGGAGACTGTGTGTCTACAAAAATAATTTTTTAAAAAACTGAGATTGTTCAAGATCAGCTAGTAAGTGATGGGACCGGGATTTAAACTCCATTCCTCCAGCTCCACAGCCCCTGCTCTTTTGACTACCACAATGCTTCCATTCTTTCTTGGACTGACAAAGAGCATGGGGAGGCTGAGGGCTGCTGAGTGGAGATGCACAGCCCCCAAGCCAACCTCAAAGGCATAGATTATATTCCTTTCACCTTTGCACAAAGCCAGCCAGCCCTGACTTGAAGAAGTCGCCCTGCACCGCTCCGTGAGACAAGGATGCTGAGTCTGGGTGCTCACACCTGTAGGCGGCCTGGTTGACCTGCTCAGTTCTCCCTGTGTTGCATTCTCTCTTACACATCCTCAATTTTCTTTTACATGGTTTTGACATTTCTTTCTTTAGTGGTGATAGCAGACAGATGTGGAGACGCAGTTCCTAAGAGCTATACCATTTGCAAATGTCAGAAAAATGCAAGGTTTCTGGAAGTTCATTGCCCTCAGCTCCTTAAGAGCATTGCTCTTTCACCAAGGAATGGTGGAACCCTGGGTGCTAGAGGCTAAGCATCTTCCTAGCATGCTTTTGAAGGAACTGTTCATAAACTTGTTGGAGTCTCATTCTTGACTTGGCAAATGTGGCTCTCATCAATGGTCTTCCCCGAGTCTGACCTCATTCCCTCATGCTGCAATTCCTCCTTCTTGTGGACATTAGGAGCACGTCATCTAAGGGGACTTGCTGAAGGTAATTCTACCCAGCCTATACTTGTATTCTGTCTCCCTCCAGCTTCATGAGTGGTAAACTCATGAAAATATAAATATAATACAATATAAATATTGTAAGTAAATGACATCCACTTAGAAGTCTGCAAGGAAAAGAAGTGGGTTGCTTGAGTGAATTTGGTCGTTCAATATAAAATTCTACCAAGACATTTAGGCATGAATGTGAAATGACATGAGTGCTTTGAAAGTTAGGAGCACCACAGAAATATACTTTAGAAATAATGAAGCAGCAGCAGCTGGGAGAAGGATGGTAGAATCCTCTCTGGGTAGCCTGGAGTTTCACAGCCTCAGTCCACCCTATGACCCCAAGGCAACCCCAAAGGCATAGATTCTGTTCCTTGCACCCACTGTACATACATATATTAAATACTTATATAGTATGAGGACAGCTTGTATTTATTAAAATATTTTCATGTTTTGAAGGCACTGTTCATGGCCATTAATTTATTTAATCTCAGTCAAGCATCAAAACAACCTAGTTAATGGGATGTGGTGATTTAAATCCCTATTTTTCAAACGAGGAATCAGAGACCACAGCAGCTCAGTAACTTGTCCAAGGTCAAAGCCAGTGAATGATGAGAGTATGATTCATGTCCAAGTGTCCAGAGTCAAGCTCTCATGTGTTTTCCCTGACAAGGAAAGGGTGCTTGATACCAGATTCATTTATAGGTATAGGATGATCACACCCTACCCTACCTCTGTCTCTCTCTCGTGCCTATGTCTCTATTATCCTCTTTCCTCTCTCTCACCTTCTTTTTCTCTGTCTCACCTTGGATTTAAGTTTACTCCAAGATGAATGTGCAGAAAAGCCTCATTATATGATTATTTCACCTACAAGGTGATCCTGTGACAGGGACCCCAAGAGTGACCTTGTATTGAGACCTTAATAAATTGCTCTGGAGTCCAGAGCTGGCTGCATGCTCCGGTGCCCTACAGCAGATCAAATCCTCACTTGGGGCAGCATGTATGATAGCATCCATGATGGTGTAGACTCACACAGTGGGAGAGATGATCCAGGTTGCTTAGAGTCAAGGCCAAACCCCCAGACCTTTGGGGCCTTTCCTGGTTCCTCCTTTACACTCATCACACTTTGATATATTTGCTTATCCAATGTCGGTCTCCCCATTAGATGGAGCTACATAGGGAAAGAACTATGTGTGCCTTGTTAACTGCTGTCCCCTTGGTCATGTCAGTCACTGGGTAAGCCCTCCAAAGAGAGGGGGAATAACTGTATGAATGAATACGTGAAGTATTGATGGAGTAACAATAATTTCACACGTCACTCTTCTCAGAAACACTCATATTTTCCAAGATTCTCAGTGAAGATGCATCTTAACCTCTTTAGGATTTTCACAGGGAAGGAATTCCACATGAACAGCCTGTTCTGGAATGAGTGGTTATGAGATGGGATGAGAGTATTTTCTCAGTGTTTCTCAAATGGCACCGTGCAGCCCCTTGGGTATTAACTCAGCTCCATCACCAAAACCAACAGTGGTTGGACCTCAAGGAACAGGAACTTTGGGGAAGCTGAGAAGAAAGGCAGCTGGGGCCTGACTTCATACTCTCAGGATTCCCTCCCTGTGAGCCTCTGGTTATTCTATCCTGAACGCAAGGCAGATATGGAGAAGTTCTGAGTCAGGGCCTAGAAGGTGGGGTTCTTATGAGACAATGAAAATTGGAACCAACTTCTGGCCTTGCTGGGTCTGTTATTGGAATTAAGCCCATCTTTTTTCATTTTATTCAAACTGAAGACACTTTCTGGCAAGGTGTTAGATTGCCACCGAAAATATCAGCCAAGGGCTTATGAAGTCAAGTCCTGAGAAACTTGTGTCAATTTATGCTCCGGGTAAAAATTCCTATGAGATTCAGCATCCTGGCAGGTTCATTTGTTATATACTAATTTCCATGTCCTAAACTAAAAACCTGCAAGGAGCTGTGTATAAAATCAACAACAAAGGCCAGCGTGGCCTGTTCTATCCCAAGTAAGGATAAACTGATAGATGAACTGTGGAGGGCACACCAGAGTGATCTTCTTTCCCAGCGTAAGAGCAGAAAAGAACTGAACATTTTCTAAGTTCCAATTCAAACCTTGATCAAAGATCCAATCAAAACGAACCTTACCAATAACAACCTGTATTGAATGCTGAATATGTACCAGGCTTTGTGCTAAGCACCTTCCATTTATATTGACCAATTAGTCTTCTCAATGATTTCATCAAGTGGGTTTTATTATTTGCTCTATCTGATAGAAAATGAAAGAAACAGAAGCTCCCAAACTTCATTCAATATGCCCGAGCTTGCAAACCAGCAAAGACCAGGATTAAAGGCTGGGCAGTTAGCCTCTGGAACCTCTGCCCTTAATGTTTGTTAGGTAATGAATCCAACATTCAGGAATATAATCAAAGTGCTCATTGCAGGTCTTGTTGCAGTTTGAGACTCCTTATGGTGGCAGATACTTAAACCTCATAGTACAACATTTTTTCTTCTTCTATTTCCTGGTACGAAGAGAAAGCCCTAGAATAATTAACTGGAAAATTCATTCTCCAAATGTTTTGCATTGTACCAAGGCTAAATTGGATAGGTCAAATGCCCTCCTGTCTGTCCCCTGGGATTCTGAAGAAATGTTTAAATTACTTTTGTATACTCGTAGCATTTGGGTGGAGAAAAATCTAGGGATTATCTAGGATTCTTAACAGCCGTGACAATCAGGATAAAGAACATGGCCATAAAGAGGTACCCTGATAGGGAATGGCAGGCTTCACCTACTCCCTACACATTTGATCTTTGCAGCAAGCTTAAGTCAAACTTGCACTTCATTCACAAATATACAAAAAGATGGCCAACATCAGTATTATGGAAGGGAATTAAAATTAAATGATGTGTTTTCCATATCATTTTGGCAAAAACTTCTGAGTTTTGATAATATCGATCATAGCGAATGTGAGGAGAAGCAGGTACTTCCGTAGATTGCCAATGAAAGGATGAATTGGAATGGCTATTTTGGAAGGTGATTTAAAACCATTAAAAATGTATACCACCTGTGAGCCAGCAATTCTAGTTCTTGCCATCTACCACCAGGAAACACTTATATTCACAAAAGTGTTCACTGCAGCATAATTTATGGGGCCAAAAACTGAAAATCATAGAAATGTAATATGTCCATACCATGGAGTATTACACAGCTCATGAAAAGGTAAATTTCTATGACTGACAACAAATAAAATGCATAAGACATACTGTTAATTTAGAAAACCCATACAGCACGGCATCATCCAATCATGCGCGCACGCGCACACACACACACACACACACCCCAGTGTATAGAAAAAAGAGTGCAGAGGTACACAAAAGACTAAAAGAGGAGATTACTTCTGGAGAAGTTCTAGGGATGGAGAGCAACAGTCAAGAGAACCACCCATCATTCAACAAATATTACTTAGCACCTTCTCTGCCAGGCACTGATGCTACCCTGTGATGAACAGACCAAAATCCTTGGAATCACGACACCAATATTCTAGCATTAGTATTACTGTTAAGCATGTGTATGGAACAAGAAGGAATTTATATATTACTTGTAATTAAAAATAAATAAAAATAAAAGCTAATAATGAAATCACTCACAATTTGAGATAAAAAAAAATGTCAGCTGATTATTTTGGATTTTGAGAGTACTTGCAAATAGTCCCAACCACAAATGTTGTATTGGTGGCTGTCATGAGGCTACTGTAATTCCTCAAATGGTCCCCCCTTTGGACAGTTGGCACAGACAGGAATGCATGCAGGAACAATCTCACACACCTCAAACACCTGCACACAATTTTGATAGTTGCTTCTATTAACATTTTTGGGGAGCAACATTAGACACAAAGTAGGAGTAAAACCCAATCCAATTATACATATATTCACAAACGATATGTACAGGAATAATCTTAGCGGCACTATTAAGAGGCCTAAACTGAAAACTACCTAAATGTCCATCGGTGGTTGAAAAGATGAATTGTCTACTATATTTACACAAAAGAATGACATATAGCAATGAAAAGCAATGCATTAAAATGAAATATAACAACAGATGAATCTCATTGACAGTGGTGAATGAAGGAAGACTGACTCAAACATAACGCACTCTAATTCCATTTATTGAGAGTTCAAAAAAAGGCAAAAATAACACATGATACTTGAAGGTGGAATAGTTGTTACCCTTAGGAAGAAGCAGTAGCTGGGGTGCATTATGAAGGCTTTGTCAGGACCAAGATTGTTCTGCTTCCTGATCTGGGTGCTGGTTGCCTGGATGTGTTTATGAGTTGTGTTGAGTTTTACAGTTGCTACTTGTAACTTTTTTGTAGGTATATTCTACTTGCATCACAAGTTTACAAAAAAAAAAAAAAAAAAAAAAAAAGCCCTGAAATCCACTTTGTGTTTTGGAAACTCATCTTTGTCAAGTCACATGCCTTCTCTGGGCTTTAGTTTTACCATCCAAAAAATGGGAGAGAAATTTGTTAGCTGATCAGGAAGGGCTCTTCCAAATGTGTGGCTCTGTGTCTCACCTCTTCCATTCCAATAATTCATTCCTAAAGGAATTAAAAAATCTAGAGAATGAGGCTTGTAGAAGGCTTATCAGGTCACATGTGCCCATTTTCAAAGCATTTTGTTATAAAGACAATCAATGAGCAACGGAAATTATGTCTTTCCAGGAAAATACACATAGTTAATTCTTCCCCAAAGTGCTTGTGGGATAAGTGGGAATACGCCAAACGCTGCTTCTATCACACATCCTATGGTCATGCCAATACAAACAGACTGTGAGGGGAGAGTCAGCAATTTAGGAGGCAGAGCTGTTCCTGGTAGGAAGGAGGCAGCCACTATGCTCATGACTGACGACCTGTTTGCAAAAGCACTTCCTCTCTGAGGGGAGCTGGTTTGTAATTTTCCTCTTACTGCTACTGGAAGTCCTTGAATGGCAATATCACAACTTGTACCCATTCACAACAGGAAAGTTTGACATCCGCAGATAATCTTGGCATGCAAGGAGGAAAAGTCCAGTACTGCCTGTCAGCTTCTATATAAGAACCAGGAAGATAATTTCTATAGTGTATACTATGATATAATCATTACTCTCGAGGTGGGCCTTCAGCCAGGGACTCTTTTCCTAGTTGTATCCAAGCCCCACTGATATTTGCAAGGCAGGGACCCCAAAGAAATCAACTCAAGGCCCTGAACAGACCCATTGTGTTAACTCAATTTAAGCCCACAGACATGGACTCTTGGGTGAGTGAAGCAGCCTCCGATGAGTAGGGGTGTTATCCTGACTGTTTAGAGAGCTGATCCTTATGTGAAGGGTTGGTTCTCAGAGGAAAGCTCAAATTAGCAGTTGAAAATAACCAGACACAAAATCTGATAGGGGTTCTCAGGTCATTTAGATCAGTTCTTCTCAAATGATCAGAGGCGAAGGACCAGTTTTGTTTCATTTAGTTTGGTTATTTATTTGTAACCATTCACAGGCCAATACATTTTTTTTTAATTCAAGAAAATTGAATGATTACAAATGGAATAAAGAGACGAAATATAAACCGCATTTTTTTATTAGTTTCAACAGACATTATTCTGTCCAGCGGCTATAAAAATTCAGAAATTCTCTGTGATCTAGGTGCTGATTAAATAGATTTGTTTAGCTTGCAAAAATCTGTGGAGCGGTAAGCAATGTCTGAAGGTACCCATCGTGAAAGGGTGGTAGTCTGTGGATTTCAGGAGCAGTACTCATTGGAGATCTTCATACTCTCTCATGAGTACACTTGTTTGGGAATAACACAGTGTTCAAAGTAGGGGAGAGGGTCAGGGGACAGATACTGTAATGAGGATGGGACCCAAGATAAGACAATGGAAGAACAGGTAGAAAAGTATTAAAAGTAATGGCAAAAACCACGGTTACTTTTGCACCAACCTAATAAGAATCTCAGAAATCAAGACTTTAGTGAGGAAGCAATTTTTGGTGATAATGAAGGAACTTCCTGTTTTCAGAGGAGTGAGGTTGAGGGACATCAGTAAATAACCAGATTAATTACCTAGAATGAGGGACAGAGATCTCTGCTCATTGTGTTCGGCAAACCCCTAGGCTAAACAACCAATAGGCAGTACATGAGATATTGAAGTTCTGGTTTAGGTCAGGCTGAGAACATCAGGCAGGTAACGCATTACTTCTTTCCACCCATTTCCTGCTCACAAATTGCAGATGGAAAACAGATTTTTACAAAATCAATTTTCTTGTTTTATCAAATACCAAATATAAAAGCTCATGTCCATATAATCACAGTTAATGATTCTGGAAAGCAAATTTAGAATTAGGGGCAATTACAACAAAACCTTAGGAGAGTAAGTTATGAAACAATTTATTTTAAGTTATAGGAATAATCTCCCACTGAAGGCAGCTATTCTTTTATTTTTATTTTTTTAGTATTTTTGGAAAAGGGACAAATGTAAGTAGGTAAGACAAAAAACTGAAATTCTACAAGCATTTTAGTTTCCAGTCCAAGACAGCTGTTGGGTGATATCACCCATTGTGAAAACAGTCATGCGTGGAGGGAATTGGCAGATGAAAAGCAAGAACACTCGATATGGGGCGTGTAAACGTGCTTTCTCTGTCTCCTTTGATTTTCCTCATAGCTAGACACACCTAAAAGTGAAGTTACATATGTGGATGTTTATATGAAGAATAAAGGACACAAGAAAGGATTCAAGAAATGAAAAACGGTGGAGGAAGATAAACATTTCAAGATTCAGATCATGTTGCTGCCCGAATTCAGTGTGTCTCTAAGGAAATAGCTAGAAGGGGTTTTCAACTCTCAGCTTCCTTCCAAGGAATAAAGAGTTTGCTGTGAGCAAAAAAAACATGCCAAGAAAATGCCAATTTGTGTCACACTAACATCTTTCTTAAGGCTGAACGTGGACTTCGGAAATGTGAACCTTTGGCTCCGGTGAACACAGTCAGCCTTGAGGGTTTGAAATTAGGTTCTTCAGAAGGACCGAAGGAAATCTGAGAGATCAACTTAGACACCCACTAATTAGAAAATGCGCCGACACCAGAGACTCGTTTGCAATGAGTGGTGGGGTCAACCTTTCCATGGCACCTGACGTGAACTCAGAAAAATGGAATCGCTGAAAACACGTTTGGAAATGATTTTATCGGAGACAGAGAGAGACAGCAACTGCTGGAGTGAGGAAGAGAGAACAAAAAGCAAACCAAAGTGAGATGCTGTAATCGAGAAGACTTGGCGAGAACAAATGAAGAACGTTCAAACTTCCTTGTTGCAGACAAAACAACCTTCAAAGGCTACCTTTTTTCCTATTTGATGGGGTAAAATTGCTTCCACCAATGCATTATACATCTTTAAAACTCTCCTTTCTGCATTTATAATTTTCATAGATGCAGCTTCCTCCAAACTTAAGCAATGAATGTAAGATGATGCTCCCTTGGGGGTTGTAAAGACAATCTAAGAACAAGTCATTTTGGAGTAACAAACTTCACAGCCGGGGATAATTTCCATTGCATAAGGCATCTACCCCTAAAGCTTTCATTGTTTCACTCTTAGGCAGTTATGTCATTATTTTACTTACCTCATTGGGGAAATCATTGTTTAACAACCAAATATAAATGGGGAAATTGTCTTCTACTTTATCTTCTCCAGGATAATAGCTTCCCTCCCCTACTTCCCTCCCCTACTTCCCTCCACAGAAGGATTAGTCCCAAATGGGTGATGAATTGCTCCAAACAGACCGACAGTCCCAGAGAGAGAAATGAGAAGAAAAATAACTAGCTGATTACCAATAGGGAACAAATTGGCCACTTGAGAATTCAGTGGCTAGAATGACAAATGAGAAAATGAAAATCCTCATCAAGGGACTAGACTTGCTGATTAGTGCAAGTGCAGATGACCACTTTCCATGCCTCTCCTGCCCTGCTGTGAAATGATTTACATCTGATTGAACATTATTTTGTATTTGGGACCGAGATTTCTAAAAGGGTGTTTGGAAAACTTTGAAGTACTTAAATATAACTAGGAGGCATTTGGGGACTGAGCAGTGAAATGGAAGATGCTCTGTGTTGGGCTCATGGAATGTTCATTTAGAGGAGAACCCATGTCTGCTTGGTTTGGTCTGGTTTTTCATTCCATCACCCCTTAAGGCAGCTTTCCAAGGTTTTCTGGGCTCTGAAAGAAAATAAAAATGAAAAGCGTATTCTTGGCCAAGGGATCCACATTCAAGGCAGACGCCAGGATTTCAACATGTGGATAGACTGGGTTTTCTGTTAATCATCAATTACTAAAAATAGAAATAATTTGGGACTCCTTTGAAGGGAGGCCATTTTTTACTAGACTTCATTTGAACCAGTCTATCAAGGGAAGTTGGGTATATAATGAACAATAGACATTCTTAGTGGTGCTAAGTCATATATGCATGAAGAAATAAAACAGGACTCTCAACCATTAGCCTCCAAGTGGACATAGTCATATGAGCTATAGGAATTATGAGGAAAAGGGGAGGTGGAGATTGTAAGTCAGGTGATCAGGATAGGATTCAGAGAGAAATGGTGATCAGACTCAGGCCTTGAAGGAGGGATAGAGTTATAGTAATTTCTGGGTGGGAATCACTTGAATGAAGAATAGTACTGATTTTTTTTTTTAAATGATTTGGTACAGAGTAGAATGTGTGCCTTAAGCAAAGTGGTTTTCAGTACAGAATCTGGAAAGATGAGACAAAACATAAAATTTTACATGTATGAATAGGTCTTCGACACCAGGCAAATAATTTGGTTTGATTCTAAAAGTACCAGAGGAACATTAAGGATTCTAAGGCAAGTTAGATCTGTTTTAGAGGTCTATTTTCCTCATCTGACAAAAAGAATCAGCAAAACAGCATTCTCTGTAACTTTTCCAACAGGTAAAATCGACATGTAAGACTGCCATTTTGCTTCTTCTTTGGTTTGTGGGACCAGCGCTATGGAAGATAAGAATGAACTAGCACAGTGCCTGACTCTAGGACTCAACACATATTGCTAAATGCATGAATGAAGCTGAACTATATAAAACCACAGTACTGTTTCCTAGGACAGAGGAAGATGATCTGATTACCTCAGACCTCTCAAGAGGTATCAATAGAGAATTTGATAGGGGCCCTGGTTGGAAGCTATGTGAACTTGGGCATGTAACTTCACCTTTTTGAGTCTGTATTTCATCACCTGAAAAAGCAAAGGTGAGTTTCATGAATGAGCTTTAATTACAGGAAGATGTTATGTGTATTTTTGGGGAAAGAGATGCCATACATGGCTTGTGTTGGATTCACAGCAGTCCATGATCCAAGATACAGTTAAGAACCACTGGATATTTCTTTTAAACTATAAGAGTCTGTGATTCTGAGACTCCAGGGATGATTTTCCTCCCTGGAAGGACAATTGGAATATCAGACCCCACAGCCCTGCCAATTTTGTTACCTTGTAGGAGGCCTGTGGCTGATTGATTTGACTGAAATGAGGAGGAGAGGATGTTGTTCTTAACTGTCAACCCAGCCTCAGATTCCTCAGCAATTTAAGAACTATTATTGATCTGATCAGCCATTCTGGAACTTAATTGACGAGGCAAAGCATTGAAAGGCAGCTGTTCCCATCAGAACACGACACTGGCAACATGCAACCTCTGACACAGTTCTTTCTGTAGAATGTTTCCTCTTTCTTCTTCCTTTCTTTAAGTGGGCATCTTAACAGTGGACTCTGTTATGAGGTTATTAGAAAGAATAACTACTTAGTGATGGGGAAAGCATTTGGAAAGATGAGAGATACACTTCTGCTCTTAAGGCTATTCTTCAAAACAATATGCAATGATATTTTTGTTGAATGGACACACTCAGCAGTCACTCTGATTTGGAGACTTGTCAACAATGATGTAATGCTGGCCAGTTAACATGAACAGTTAAAGAAAATGTTATAATCCTAGAAGCTATTGTCAGTATAAAACTCCAGCGTAGAAAGCTAGTCCCAGTAATTTATAATGAGGCAGTACTCGTAATGATTTTTGGCTTCATGCATTAACAAATAGAAATTTAAAGGATAAAGGACTTACATTGTAATAAGGAAAACTCATGAAAAGATTCAGCTGTAATCAAAACAAATTGTGTTTTTAGATTGATTTTCATAAATTCAACTTTTCCCCTTATTTATACTAAAAAGGAATGCATTGTGCTAAGCTGATTCCTACCGTTCAGAAAAAAGAATGGACATTATATTTTTAACATATTTTAATAAAATATCCATAAATTGCAAATATCAACTTACAAGAAAGAAAAAACTCATATACAGGCAAGAATAGAGCATCTATTCTTGCTAGGAAGAGAAAAAAATTTTCCTATGTCAAATTCATTTTCCCTTTTTAAATAGTACCTGTTATTTAATTGAAGCGTTGATTAATGCCATTAAAAAACCTACCTAAAGGCCAGGCATGGTGGCTCACGCCTATAATCCCAGTACTTTGGGAGGCCAAGGCTGGTGGATCACGAGGTCAGGAGTTCAAGACCAGTCTGGCCAAGATGGTGAAACCCTGTCTTTACTAAAAATACAAAAATTAGTCAGGCATGATGGTGGGTGCCTGTGATCCCAGCTCCTCAGGAGGCTGAGGCAGAGAATTGCTTGAACCCTGGGGGGCGGAGGTTGCAGTGAGCCAAGATCGTACCACTGCACTACAGCCTGGGTGAAAGAGTGAGACTCCATCTCAAAAAATAAATAAATAAACAAAAACAAAAACAAAATCCACCACCTAAAAGAGCAATTTTATGAATAATAGCAGTGAAATGCATTATGATTACCTTTGCTTTCTATTCTTTCTCCTCCCTCCCAGTTTCTTCTAAATAAATGATGCTCCTTACTCCCCCATCAGGCATCTAAAACCAAGAGGAGACAATTTCTTCCAAGAAAGTGCATTTAGAACTCCAATTTACTTCACTTGTAAAGTCCTATAGACAGTAGTATCAAATAATGAGTCAAGATCACTCTATTTAGCATCCAACTATTCTAGACTTGTTCATATCTTAATGTTCTGTTTTTTCAGCAGGAAAGCAGAAACTTCTACTCTATCTGCAATTTTCTTCCTTCTACTGGCAGTGATACTATTTAAAAAGTACTTGGCATCACCCAAATCTGTCTTCCAGTGAGCATCAGAATCCTTCTGACTGTGATTGCTCCCAATTTGCCTAGAATTGGAACAGACTAAAATATATGGTTTAACTCTGGAACCCAGGCCAACGGCACAACATATGGTAGGTTGCAAGTAACACAATGTTTAGCTCAATCTTCTATGGTATCTGGCAATAGGATGTTACCAATGAAAACTCCTTAAGCTGAAAATTGGCCCAAGTTGCAGTCATTCTGCATTTTCAAGTTGCATCAGACTCTATGGTATACTCTATGGGGGTCCTATGATTTCCCAAACTGTCTAATCTCTTCCCATATCATTGCTCATGTTCTCAGGAGAGCTGGCTTAATTTGTGTTTATGACGATATTGATTTGTTATTCTAAAAACAATTATTGTTTTGGTTTTTGTTGTTGTTAACAAACCAATCTGATTCTGCTGCAGTAGAATCTACAATTGCACTGGGGTAGAATTCTTATCATAGCGAACAGCAAGGGGCAAATGAGTTATGAAGGATAAAAGCTGGGCTTATCTCTATTGGAACTCTCATTGCTTCTGAGGATGAGACACCCTTACTGTATAGATGGTTTACCCAAACATAAAACACACAAGGGCATTTATTAAATGTCTTTAGCCATTTAGGTTATAACACACTTAAATGCCAAAAATCACTTTTTCTGGCATTTTCATGGCAAGATTAGTTGTGCATTCATTCTATAGTAGGTATTAATAAATCCTGCATTATGGTTAGCTGTCAGAAACAGTGGGAATTTCGTGGCAGCTCGTCTTTGGCATCTGAAACACAGCACAGTATTTTCACTGGAATCTTCCAAATTATTTCTTTCTATTTATGGAAATAAGTTCTCACTGCGGAGCCTTAAAGGGTTGGAGAGAGTGACTGGTTTTCAAATCTTTTTGGCTCCTGAAATGTAGGCTGAACTCTAAGGGATCCTGTGCTCTTTATTCATTCTTCATAATCATACCTCCCTCACAGTGTGGGTCTTTCCACGTCACAGAAAAGGAAACTAAGATTCAGGAAATTTAACCAGTCATCCACAATGACACACCTAATGTGTGGTCAACCTAGCTAATTCAATTGATGTGAACCTTTCTACCAGGGTCTTAGGCAGGCTGTACCTCTACATGTCTAACGTTTGGGAGTCTCCCAAAACAGTGATGCAGATTTGGTGACTATGAGAGAAGGAAACGTAAGACAGTGCATCTGTATCATTGCCATGTATGAGCGTGTGTGATGTAGGAGAAGAAATCGTAGTTTCTAGTTTCAGCTCTGTTACTACATTTCTCTGGCTTTGAGAAGTCGTTGTTCATATCTTTCATTGACTCTTTAGTCAAATAAGAGTGGGTAATCCATGCGCGGTGGCTCGTGCTGGTAATCCCAGCACTTTGGGAGGCTGAGGTGGGAGGATCACGAGGTCAGGAGATCGGCACCATCCTGGCTAACACAGTGAAACCTCGTCTCTACTAAAAATACAAAAAATTAGCCAGGCTTGGTGGGGGGGCCTGTAGTCCCAACTACTCAGGAGGCGGAGGCAGGAGAATGGCGTGAACCGCAGAGGTGGAGTTTTCAGTGAGCTGAGATCGCGCCACTGCACTCCAGCCTGGGCGACAGAGCGAAACTCCGTCTCAAAAAAAAAAAAAAAAAAAAAAAGGTGGGTAAATATGTGAGCAGAGTGGTTCAACTGCTACATTCTTAGGGCTAACACTGAAGGATTCTAACCTATGTGCTTACATCATAGCCTGGGAAAATGTAGTTTGGTGGTCTCCTTTTCAAGATCCTACCTCTCCATCCTACCTTTAAATTTGAGAATTCCCAGAGTTCCACCCCAAACCTTCTGCTCTTCTCTAGCACTGCTTTCTCTGTGGGTGATCTCACTCTTTCTTGGTTCTTGTTTTAACGTTTCTTGTCTGATATTAATATAGCTACTCCATCTTGCTTATGGTTGCTGTTTGCATGATATCTTTTTCCATCCTTTTGCTTGCATCCTATTTGTATCTTTGAATCTCAAGTGTGTTTTCTGTAGACAGCATAGAGTTGGACCTTGTTTTGTTTTTTTAATTCAATCCAATTATCTCCAACTTTCAAATGGATTTTGCAATTATTTATGTTTAATGGCATTATTGTTAAGGCTAGATTTACCTCTGCTACTTTGCTTTTGGCTTTCTACGCCTCAATTCGTTTTTGTTTCTGTTTCTCCTTTAATGCTTTCCTTTATGATTAATCAATGTTTTCTAGTACAACATTTTAATTTATTTAATAATTTTTCATAAAGAATTATTTTCTTAGTGTTTGCTCTTGGGCTTATAATATACATCTTATCGAAATCTACTTCATATTTATGCTGACTTAATTCCAGTGAAACATAGAAACTTTACTTCTATTATATAGCTCTATTTTCTCTCCATTTTATAATATTATTGGTCAATATATTCAATCTATATGCTATAAACCCAATGGTGCATTATAATAATTATTACTTTATATAATCTTATGTATTTTACAGAACGTAGAAGAAGGAGATCAAGTACATATTTATCAAGTTTATTATGTAGATCTTAACCATTTGTAATTCACTTCATTTCTTCCTATGGACTCAAGTCATCAGCTGGTGTTATTTCCCAAAGCTGCTTTGCTCACATCTACCTCCTTTGTGTTGTTGTTTTCAGATGTATTGCATTTTTATATACTGTAAGTTCAACAGTACAGTTATATGCACATTGTTTTCTATAAACACATTTCTTCTGAAATCAGTTAAGAGAAAAAGGGAGAAGGAATGTGCAGTTATTCACTATTCTTTTTTTTTTTTTTCTTTTGAGACAGGGTCTCTGTCACCCAGGCTGGAGTGCAGTGGCATGATCTCAGCTCATTGCAACCTCAACCTGCCGGGTTCAAGTGATTCTCCTTCTTCAGCCTCCCGAGTAACTGGGATTACAGTCGTCAGCCACCATACTCAGCTAATTTTTTATTTTTTCATTTTTAGTAGAGATGGGGTTTCACCGTGTGGGCCAGGCTGCTCTTGAACTCCTGACCTCAAGTGATCTGCCTGCCTAGGCCTCCCAAAGTGCTAGGATTACAAGTGTGAGACACCACACCCAGCCTACATTGACTTTTTAATTATTTTTTTTGTATGCGTGAGGTGAAGTTCATATAACATAAAGTTAAACATATCAAAGTGTAGAATTCAATATCATTTAGTGCATTCACAATATTATGCATCCACCGTCTTCTTTAGTTTTAAAACTTTTTTGGGCCCACATGGGGAAAGCCCGTCTCTACAAAACCACGAAATAGAAATGTTAGCCGGACGTGGTGGCAGGTGTCTGTAATCCCAGCTACTTGGGAGGCTGAGGCAGGAAAACCGCTTAAACCTGGGAGACGGAGGTTGCAGTGAGCCAAGATAGTGCCACTGCACTCCAGCCTGGGTGACAAAGCAAGACTCTGTCTCAAAAACAAACAAAAACAAAAACACTATTTTGGCTGGGACTGGGTGCAGTGGCATACCCCTGTAATTCCAGCACTTTGGAAGCCAAGGTGGGAGGATTGCCTGAGCTCACAAGTTCAAGAGCAGCCTGAGAAACTTAGTGAGACCCCATCTGTACAAAAAAATTAAAATATATTTTTAAAAATTTTCATCATTATGGTTTGTACTCATTAAGTAATCACTTCCCATACTCATCTTCTCCCATCCCCTAGTGATCACTAAACTGCTGTCTCTATAGATTTATCTATTCTGGATTTTTCATATAAAAGGAATATATAATATATGACCTTTGTCTGGTTTATTTCATTAGCTTAATGTTGGCATGGTTCATTTGTGCTTTAGTACATGGCAGTACTTCTTTCCTTTTTATGGCTGAATGTATACTCATTGTATACATGTACCATAATTTGTTTATGCATTTACCTATTGGATATTTGCATTGTTTACATTTCTATAATATCTTTTGGCCATAATGAATACTGCTGTTGTAAACATTTGTGTACAAGTTTCTGTGCAGATCAGTATTTTCATTTTTTGGATGTATACCTAGCAATAGATTTGTGGGTCATATGGTAATTCTATGTTTGGCTTTTTAAGAAACCACCAAACTCTTTTCCCTAGTAGCTGGACCATTTTACATTTTGACCAGCAATATACAAGGGTTCCTAATTCTCCACATCCTACCAACATTATTTTCTGTTTCTCTTTTATAGCCAACCTAGTGGATATAAAGTGGTATTCTCATTGTGGTTTTTATTTACATTTGTTTAATGACCAATGAGGTTTAATATCTTCTCATGTGTGTTTGGTTATTGATATATCTTCTTTAGAGAAATATTTATTCAAGTCCTTTGCCCATTATTTTTTCTTCTGAGATCGGGTCTCACTGTGTCACCCAGGCTGGAGTTCTGTGACATGACCATGGATTACTGCTGTGCAGGCTCAATATTCTGGGCTTAAGCAAACCTCCCACCTCAGCCTCCAGAGTTGCTGGGACTACAAGCACAAGCCACCATGCTTGGCTAATGTTTCTATTTTTTATTTTGTAGAGATGGGGTCTCATTATGTTGCCCAGACTGGTCTCTAACTCCCAGACTCAAGTGATCCTCCCACCTCGGCCTCCCAAATTGCTAAGACTACAGTGTGAGCCACTGCACCCAGCCCTTGGCTCATTTTTGAATTGGATTGTCTTTTTGTTTTTGAGTTATAAGGGTTCTTTATGTATTCTAATTACTAAATAGACCCTTATCAGGTGCATGATTTGCAAACATATTCTTCCACTTTGTAGATTGTCTTTTCACTTTCTTGGTAATGTCCTTTGATGCCCCAAAGTTTCTAATTTTTCTGAAGTCACATTTTTCTATATTTTCTTTTGTCCATCATGCTTTTGATGTCAAATCTGAGAATCCGCTGCTTCCAAATGAGTTCATGAAGATGTATCCCTAAGCTTTACAACTCTAGTAGCTTTATATTCTTAGTTCTTATAATTAGTTTGTTGATCCATTGTTAATTTTCATATATAGTGAGATGGGGCCCAATTTCATTCTTTTACATGTATTCAGTTGTCCTAGCACCATTTGTTGAAGAGACTATTCTTACGCCGTTGGATGGTCTTGGTACCTTTGT